GTGCGCACGTTTTGTCGTGGCATAATCGACGGCAGGGGGGTGATGGCTTATGAATTGCGCCATGAACGGGATGGCTACCACGCTCGGCACTTCGACCTCGCGGACGGCGTCACACGGCGGTCATTCCGTTTCTACGACGTGGATGTTGATGGGATCCCGGCGCTGAAAATGGAGGTCGGCCTCGGGTTCTTCGGGAATCTCCTCGGGCATGTTCTCATCCACGCAAGGAAGGTCGGTGAAGTGATCCCCAACGAAGGAGGCGCCCATCCCGTCGATCTTGCAGGGGAGATCGTCCTGCTCTACGTCTCCACCCTGGCTGACGTTTTCGTGGATTGCGGTGTCGTTTTGGCGTTGCATCCTGGAACCCCCATTGGTTGGCAGGCCGTATCTGCATGGGGAGATACGATGATGATGATGATGATGATGATGATGATGATGATGATGATGATGATGACGATGATGATGATGATGATGATGATGATGATGATGATGTCGACGACGACGATGACGACGAAGACAACGATTGTGACGACGATGATTGTCATCAGGAGATAGTCGATGGTGACATAGGTGACGAAGATGATGACGATGACGATGACGATGACGTTGATGATGATGATGATGATGATGATGATGATGATGATGATGTTGACGATGATGATGATGATGATGATGATGACGATGATGATGATGATGATGATGATGATGATAATGATGACGATGATGATGATGATGATGATGATGATGATGATGATGACGATGACGATGATGATGGTGATGATGATGAGGATGATGATGCCGTCCACGCGGGCGAATCCTTCCTGTGCAGGAAGCAATCAATGCCCGCGCGAACGCCGTTCACTTTAGTGGCTTTAATTCAAATTGTCTGCGTCACGTCTGCGAAAAAACGTGAGGAATAGCATTTCTGTTTTCTAGGTATCAATGCTCCGACATCAATCAGGTTTTCCATGTCATGTTTTTGTGTGCTCACATGGGAATGCCTGCGAATGTTTTGTGTGGAAACGTAATGCATGGATGAGTACATAGATTGCAATTCTCTATGACGTCGATTATTGCCATTATTATTATTATTTTTTTTACCGCCATAGCAAACAACTGAATGAGTCTGTGTTGTGTCGCATGTACATGACGATGCTTTTGGTAGCGAAGAAGGTGCGATCATTGTTGCATAACATTATTTTTTATTTGAACAACATTGTTTTTCAATCGAATAACAGTATCTTGCAATAGGTTAATTTCGTTTTGCAATTGAACAACATCGTTTTGCAATTGAAAAATGAGGGGTTAGATAGGGTAGGGCGAGAGGATTCAGAAGCAAGGAGAAGAAGGGAATTTCAATGACGGATGGAAAAAAAAAAGGAAAAAAAAAGCATTCACATCGAAGAACTTAAGGGAACAGAAATGTATGCGGGTCATTTTTTTAACACTTGAAACAAATGTCTCCCGGGAATAAAAAACGCGCCATGCCCGCAAGACGCTCACATGACGTACACCCCCACCCACTCTTCTACTGCCCATGATCTCCCTTCGCAACCCCCCCGCATTTCAAAACGCTGCCCACTATCACCGCCTACTCTCACAAAACGTTTCGATTCGAACACGACCGCATTACCGCCACGGGCATGGTGGCGGCGCGCCGTGGACTGCAACGTGGTGACGCACGTGTTCAACCAAACTCTCCCTAATGTGTTTGGCGAGGTCACTGCCATAGGTGGGGTCGTCACAAGGGATGGCCTCAATGTTCAAGTCTGGAAGATGGCGGTGGAATCGACGACGGCGCTGTCGTCGTCGAAGGTTGCCGTCACCACCATCCCCCCCCTCGCTGTCGCTGCTGTCTCCCATCAACGCCGGGTCTATTTGGACATTGCGCTCGATCATAAGGTTCTGTAGAATACACACGGCCATGAACTTTTTCGTGAAAGGTCGTCAGGTTGCAAATGTGTCGTCGGATGAAGTTCCTCCACACGGCTTTCAGAAGCCCGAATATCCGCTCGATGCACGACCTTGCTGCACTGTGACTCTCATCGAACGCCCGATCCGCTGCTGTTTTAGCAAAGCGGCCGAATGGTGTCATCAGCCACGGGAAGAGTGGGTACCCTTGATCACCTATCAAATACCGACCGATGTGTCTGCCATTGTGCAGTATGGCACCTCCCCCACCGAACACTCCTCTGCCCGCCGTGGCATTCTCGAACAGTGGCGAGGTACGTAGAGCTATGGAATCGTGCAAAAAGCCCGGACGACCGACATAAACACTGACGATCCGGCACTCGTGGTCACACACGACCTGCGCCACAACAGAAAAGCCCCCAGTATGGTGGTAAAAGCACTCTCATTGCACTCCCTTCGGCTTCTCGATGTACAAATGAGTGCAATCTATTGCGCCTACACACCCGGGGAAGCCTTTCCTCTCGAACTTGTGAAGTACGTCCTCCAGTCGTTGTCCTGTCGGGAATCGCAAAAGATGTCCGTACTCCGCGATGATGGCGTCGGCTACTTCCACATTGCTGCGCAAAGCACTCGCCAGGCACATGCCCAATCCATGGGAGGACTGCCTGTAATAACCGTTGGTCGCCCACCTGATCAACGCGCACGCGAACTTCTGACCGGCAGGTATCGGCAATCTGAAATTCGTGGGCGAACGTTGGATATGCGGGCTAATACGATCCAGAACTTCCAAGAAGAGAGGGCGTGGAAGTCTGCAAAACCGCGTGAACACCTTATCGTGCTCAGCCCCCACTCGCTGGAGGTCTTTCCACACACCGCCATTGCGCTCCACCACCCACAGACGGCGTCGACGGTCCAATCTCCTTCCCACCTCCTCAGCCGCCAAAGCCCCCAGAGCAAAACCATGCAACATTCCCCCCGCGAGTAGTGCAACCGCAGCGGAGACGTTTTGGGACAGGAATGGCATCACCGAAACAGCCTCCACAACCGCCATGGCGGCTGCATTGCGTCTGTTCATCCAGTGGATGATAAAAAACGCCACCATCAACATCGTATCCTCGCACTCTTCGCCATACAACCCGCCTCCCGAAGCATCCATGAAAATCGTCACAGCAGAAAGTCGCGATCGGCTATGGCTACCCGCTGTCCCTCCGTCCCGAAGCTCTCCCCCCCAGATCGGCAACCCGTGAGTGATGGGAGGTCACGAACGGCTCGCTACGCGGGCACAACACACAACCACACGATGGCTGGATGTCAACGACGATCTGCCCTCTTCGTCCTCCCGGTTTTCGCAAATGCGCTAACGGGCCCAACGCCAGGCTGAAAAAAATAGTGTCGTTGTACCTCTCGTTCCCTCTCGTGCTGGGACGTCGCACTGGGACTGCACGGAGGTCGGTTCCGCAGTGCCGCAAACGGTGTGCGATGCCACACACCAATTCCCCACCCGAGACCCTGCCGTGTCCGCTGGTTCGTCCGCGGAATTCCTACTTTCCTTTTTGGGAGGGGACCTTCTGCGGTTTTCCTAAATAGGCAAGCCGGCCCGTTTCCAAAACACCGCCACCAGTTCGCGGTGGAGTCTCCCTAAATCGTGCAAAAAGCTTTCCACCCGAGTTGGCCAGAAATTCGCGGCCGGCCACTTTTTCTAGGCGCCGGCCAGTGGGGTCCAGGCCTAAGCCTGGGGCCTGTGATTTTTTTTTTTTTTTTTTTTTTTTTTGGTGGTTCCGTTCTATTCGTGAGGAGCCTTCGTGGAAGGCTCATTTTATTTTTTTGAGAATGCGTTTTTTGTTTTTTTTTCCTTATGTTTTGTTCTCGATCATTTTTCATGTACGTGGGTGCTGCGGCTGGCCGTATTAACAGGAAAGCACACCCCAATGACACTCCTGTTGGGACTCGGGGCCTCCCTCCATGCGGGCCCTCCCTCCACGCGGGCCCTCCCTCCACAGCTGTCAGACGATTATCGAAAGTCGGCGGTCGACAGTTTACCCCCCCTTCGCCACACAGGAGCATGGTCCCACTAGCAACCGGGATTGGATTACGACCCTGAACCTGGGCGTGGTTCAGGCAGAGATGCGGAAAAACTGTTCAATCTCGAATTTCTGCATTGACTTACCGTGAGGGCACGGGTGCGCAGCCCGTAGTTTGTTTGTTTATGTGGTTCGGGAAGGGTAAGGTAGTGATTATGCTGTATGTATGTTTTGTCATGTTCGCTATACACAACTCGAAGCGAGTGTGTGTGGGGGGTCCCGGTTGTTGCTTTATTCACGATGTTCATGGGACGTTGGACCCAATTTCCAACAGGTGGCGCTCCCCATCAATAGACAGGAGAATGTATGTGCGTGTGTATGTGAGTGTGTGAGTGTGTGTGTGTGTGTGTGTGTGTGTGTGTGTGTGTGTGTGAGAGAGAGAGAGAGAGAGACGATAAGTCTCCAACCTCGGGCAACAGCTAAGTCTCCAACCCCGCCCCTCGCCACACGCTACTTGGATCGATAGAATGAGCAAATCAAAAAGTGGCAGTGTATATTTCCACGTTTCAGCGGAGGATTCATT